CCGCCCCCCCCCCCCCCCCCCCCCCCCCCCCCCCCCCCCCCCCCCCCCCCCCCCCCCCCCCCCCCCCCCCCCCCCCCCCCCCCCCCCCCCCCCCCCCCCCCCCCCCCCCCCCCCCCCCCCCCCCCCCCCCCCCCCCCCCCGCACGCTCTCCTCCGTCCTTCCTGCCCTCCACTGACACCGCGTTACCACGCGAGAGCGCTTCTAACGCGCCGGTGCCGGGGGAACAGACCCCCGTTCTGTAACCGCAGCCCTCCCCTCCCGCAGTCACCCGTACCTTCTTTCTGCGGTTTCCAGCCGTCTGTCCAGGGGCAGCGACACTCGACTCCAACGACGGGTCGTTATAAAGAACACGTTTGTCAACAGGGCCTGGGTGGCTGTCAGGACTCGCTGGCATCTTGTGTCGGGTGAAAACAGGAAGGTTCATCGCGCCCCCGCAGCCCCTACTCCGCCTCGCTGCCGCGGTCCACCCGGCACCAGGCTTCGAGCCCGCGAGCACCCACCCAGGGGCGCCCTGCGCGCGGCCAGCGCCCCGCGGGCCCAGGCTCCTCCTGCCGCGCGCTCCCCCGCGTCTCCCGCCCGGCCGCACCCGCGCCCCACCTCCCCGCCCGCCGGGCCTCGCCCGACACGCGCAAGCGCGGGGCCCGAGCGGGGCGAGGCCTGCGGGGTCGTGGGCCCGGACGCCCGAGGGGCGCAGCCCAACCACGAAGCTCTCCCCACCCACCGCCGGGCGGACGGCAGGTGCGCGGCCCACCTCGGTCCCGCCGGGCACTCCGGGCCCACGCCCAGCCCGGGGCCCCGACACGCGGCTCCAGGGCTCCAGGGCTGCGGAGCCTTAGGCCGCCGCAGAAGGCCCCCCACGCACGCACGCACGCACGCACGCACGCACGCACGCGCATGCGCCCTCCGACGCATGGCCGCTCGGCGCCACGCGTGCGTCCAGCCTGCGAGCCCGCGGTGCCCGCTCGGCGCCGTCTCGTCGGCCACGGGCGACGTGTGGGTTCCACCGGCTTTGCGTGCACACGGCCGAGTTCCGGGGACCGGCAGCGCCGCCCCCGCGACACAGACCTGGGTGGTCACAGGAGCGAGGACCCTCCGGGCGGGAGGAGCCGGCCAGTCCTGCGCCCTGACGCGCAGAGGTGCCGTCGTCCGGCCGAACGTGTTTGCACGCGGGACTCGGCTTCCTCTGTCCCCCAGCCTCCCAAGAATCTGTACACTTGCAGCAAATGTGAACAAATATATTTAGATATATTTAAAAGAATTAAAAAAAAACATTTCACAAAACATGTTGCCATAGGAATTTTTTTAAGCAATAAATGCCCACATCAAAATTTAAACATTGTTCAAAGTATGATTATCTGTACTAATAAGTAACGCAACAAATTATGTAAACAGAGTCAGATACATTTCCCATTTCCCTGCAGGAGTCACTTCCTTCCTGGGATTGAACCTGTCCCAGACAGTTTTCCAGGGGACCAATTAAGAAACTGCTATTTTCAGAGCAACAAAAATAAAAGCTTTTATTTGTTCATTTGAATATAAAACAGGCGTTATCACAGATGTACAAAGCTTACTGGTGGTTTAACATACGAGAAGGTTGCCGTCCTTTGCACATAAAAATTTTGTTTGAAACCGTGATTGGTTGAGTACATGAATTTCTCTAACCAGTCACCACACTCTATGAAATAACGCTGCTAACATTCAACTGATAAAAGGGACAGTTTCCCTTGGGTAAAGTGTCAAGCAGGATTAAATATATATAATAAACAAGCACCATGAGGAAGCCGCCCTGTTGGGTTAGGTCTGTGTTTCAATGTTCATTGTGTACCCTTCTTTGTGCAAGTTGATTACACAGTTTTGTCTGACTTCAAAAGCACAAGGTCACAAGACAAACATTGTTACATTCTCATGAATGATTTATCTACAGCACAATTTCTAATACAGAACGATCCTTCTTTATTGCTGAAAGGGGTTTCCTTTCCTTTTACTTGCACAAATGACCTTTGATCCCAGCCCCCAACCCTTTGACCTCAACTCTAACATGAGAGATGACAGGACGTCACTAACCATGTTCACAACCGCACCGCCTTGCATGTGAAGGTCATCCTGGAAGTGACACCTGATTTGTTTGCTTCCGACATCAGCAAGACCTCACAAGTTATCCTGCAATTGTGTTTCCTAATCAGTATGGGATCTGAAGCCTTAAGCCATCCTTCCCCTTAAACAACGTTGGTATGTGTAAGAAAATGTCTTTTTTCTGTGTGTGGTGGGGATCTTCCTCCCATAGGAAGCAGAAGACTGTAGGAATGTGTATCTGAAGCATGTAGAGAAGTATTCACACACAGCAATGAAGTCAAACAATATTTTAAAAATCAAATAATTTGTGGAGATGGAAGGATGCACCCCACATGCAGACAAATTGTTAAAAATGCCACTTAAAATTTTAAGAAAACAATTAGCCTTGGATCTCGGAAGTCAAACAAAACTCTCTTTTAGCAAAGGGCTTACTGCTGGCGCATATAGCAAAGGCAGATGAAGACACTGCCTACAATATAATGAAAAGTGAATCTAAAGTTTGCCCAGCAACAATCTTGGTCATGCATTTCTAGCAACGAGAGCCACTGCGGGGTCGTATTGGGGCAGTTACAAGATAAATAAATCACGCTTGGACAGCTGATACCTCTTCTTGGCTGGACACAGATGGGCCAATTCAATCAAGGAGTGTACAGGTGAGACATGAAAACTGGAAGGCGTGTGAGGCAGCAGCAGCAGCAAGAGACGGAAATCAGAAACGTGGTATCCACAGGTGGCGAAATGAAGGCAGCTGTGAGGCTTTCTTGCTCCAGCCAGTGGCTCTGTTAGGAGTCCCGGGGCAGCTCATGCGGGTTCCCTGTGGGTTCTGCTCACGCCGGGGCAGGGAGCCCCAGAGAGCTGGCCGAGGAGACGATCTCCTAGGTGGGTCTTTTCCCTTAAAGCTGTTCTGGACACTCTGTCCACTCCATACAATGGCCATCGGAGGGGAATCAACACAACCCAGTGCAAATGACCGCAGAAAATCATTCCTTTTCATAGCAAGGACCAAAAAGGGGTGACACTAACAAAGATGATGAGGAACGTGGTGCAGCGGGTCCCTGCAGCTCCGAGAGCAGCGCTACGTGCCACCTGCCTTCCCTAACGCCCGCTCCGTGTACTAAGCACATGCTGGCACACCGTTCGCTGTTGCCCCCACAGCAAAGGAAAAATAGTGCACATTCAGCCTCAAATTCCTTCCCCATCTCTGAGATGGCAATAATTTCACTTGCTGGTCTCTGGTTCTAGAAGAAACATTTAGACCGGGCTACCGGCAATCTGTGATTGCTCACATCAGCAAAGTGGGTGTGAGAGAATCTCTCTTTATCTACAGTACAGTGGAGGGGACACCATGCAAGTGACAGGTTCTGCATTTTAAACTTTAAAATCTCCTTTGTTCATTAGTGAATTTATATTTCATATATATATATTTGTTGTGATACTATCCACGCAAGATAATACAACACTTTTTTTATATTAGCAAACATTACAAGACTTTAATGTTCTTGAATGTTTTTCTCTTTTATACTTCTAAAGAGATCAAAATAAATTAAACGTTTTGTACATAATTACATATGAAGAAGTTAACTTATTTCATCTTTTTAGTTTAGTACAAAGATATCTGCAAGAGAGTTGCCGAAATACACCTTATGTATAATTCCTTCTCATTCTATGCTAACTTCCAAGGCCGTATGTTAGCCTTTGTTTCTTCAGTACATTTCTGACAAAGAAAGCTGCTAAAATCTAATTGGAAGGTGCTATTTGGAAGGTTTTCTCGTACCTCAACAAACTTTCCTAAAAGGATGAGATCTAGCAATGGCTTAAATCAGTAACAAGGTCCATGTCATTAAGATATCATGACACATTAAACAGAGAAAACAATTCTTTGTCACACTACATAAATTGTTTAAAAGAACCCATCTGGAGGGCAGAATATTTTTTAATTGCTATTTTGGCTTAACAAAATACCACATTTACGAAGAAAGCACTTATTATCCAATAATTAAAAAAAAAGAAAAGAAAGTTCTTGAAATGGGTTTTTCCAACAAACTGAAGGCAGTAATCCAAAGTCCTTCTGAGCAAACTTCAGTGGTAAATTCACATTTCACGTTTCACCCCCATGCCGATCAGGACGCTGTGGAGTCTCGCCGAGGCGTGACCGAAGGCTCCATCCCGGAGAACGTTGCCCCTGTGTCTGCAAACTTTATTGACACTGAGAAAAGTGTTTCCTTCCCTGGAAAGGTCCATGGGAGCCAGAGACGAGACTACATGTTGTAGGCCACATAGATGGGGTCCAGCTGGTCGGCCAAAAACCCGTCACGCAGGTGCATGCGCTGCTTCTCTCCCCGGGAGTTGATGGGGATGACACCGATGTCCACCACGACCACCACCCCCACCACCAGGTAGTGCTCCTCTAGGACCACATTGGTCACCAAGGGGACCAGGTCCAAGGCTTCTTGCTCCGACCCATCAAGCTCAACCACCACCACCAACAAATTTGTCCAGGTGAATACAGCGCTGGAAGAGAGAAAAAATCATCACTATACAGTGAGGTTTTTATTTAACGATTACGTTTTCTCATCAAGAAGTTCCGTCCATCTGGGTCTTTTCGGATCTGCCTGTGTGCTGACAGTCTCTCTGAGCCCATGGCCGTCAGCCCATTAAGTGCTGCACACGAGCCTGTCACTGGCATTTTCTAACGGTGGCTCCCGTGGTGGCTGCTGCGTGAGCACGTGATCTAGCCATCATCCTGACAGCGGCCCTGCCCTCTGCCCCCAGCCACTGCCGAGGGACGTGCAGCGGTCGGGGAGCACAGGATCCCTACCACCGGCGTGCTATGCCCCTAAGGTGGAGTCTGTGCCCAGCTCTTGGGCTCAGGGCCAGTATGCAACGTGGTCAGTGGTCAGTTAGCAGAGGCTGGAGAACAGCCAGGGCTTTGGGGCTGGTCCTGCCTGGCCTGTGCCACAGTGGGAGGATGAGCAACGTGGAGAAGAGCCACCAGCTCTGTGCTCAGCTGACGGGGGGCCCCAGTCACACTGGCGTCAGCTAACCCAGTGGTCAACTACACACACGGGGGCACAGTAACTGTTTCAAGTACTGAGTCTGGGATGAGCCTAATGCAGCAAGAGGCGACCTTTATGGGGGGAAATTCCTCAAGAACATCAGGGATTGATCCAGAAATATTTTATTTGGAAGTATTTCAGCGGAAGGTCACCCAGAGTATTTGGTCTGGCCAGTCTGTGGAAGCCTAAGCTTGGTGCTTTACACGGTCAGCCACCTGAACTTTATATGGTTGGTTTTTAAAAAGTGGTGGTTACAGGGTGCACTGCTCCTGGTGCACACGGTATGCTGGCCGCAGAGGTCAGAAGGGTCCCAGGGTAGAGGGGCTGCATGCAGGGGCTGCTGGTATCTGCTTTTCCAGCCAGATGCACAGAAGGTTCTAAGCGGCAGCAAGTATTTGGGAAACTCCCTATGCTTTCTAATAGTGTAAGAATACATTTATTCAGAAAAAATAGCTCACACCTCTTGCTTAGGATGACCAATAAATATATTAATGTGGAAGGAAACAGTGGAGAATGTGTTGGACTGATTCCTACCTCCGGGTCTGGCTTGGTGAGGAGTGTGTGTACCCAAGCCAACAGTCCTGCCAAGGTCTGTTCCCAACATGTGCTGGTGCCGAATTCCCATCATATGACTGTTTGTGACACTACAATACTGCTCTGCATGGCCCAAGTGAGCCCATCCTGAATTTGTGGTATCACAGGTTATATACATATAGTAGCCACGTTGGGAATGACTTAATGATAGCGTGTGACGCTGATGGCACAGTATTACGAACCAGGCCAGATTTCTGTATTTGGTGGGGGAGGGGTTTGCCAAGAAGCTGTGGGCAGAACAAGCACCTCTCTCCTTCCATCCAAGCTTCCCCAGGCCCAGAGATGTCAGCCACTGGAGACAAGGATGAGAAGGGAAAGATGTGGTCAGCTGGACTGTGCCACCGTGTGCAGTCACATCGAGTGACACATATGAGCCTTGGTACGAGGCACCTGACGGGGCACGCTGGCGGAGCAGCACAGGCCCGGTGAAGGAAGGAAGGAGGAGCAAGAACAACAGAGTGGGCTGCACTGGGCAGCTTCCGGCGACAGAGCCCAGCACAGCTCAGCCACTGCCTTTCTCTCCGGTGCCCATGCGAACAGGGCTGAGCGCCAGGCACCACATGCATCAGGTGAGGCCACACAGCACGTGGCAACAGCAGTGCTTAGAACAAAACCTTGAACCCTGGCTAGAAACCCACGAGGAGCGCCTGCCACACCTGCAAGGGGCAGACAGCGTTCCACACGGGAGACGCAAGAGGGAGGCGGTGCAAACCAGTCTGAAGTATTTTCTCCCAGGCACAGAGATGGAAGGCTGCAACTGAGGTGCAGCCCTGCGCCATTTCTGGGCCGGGGTCCTTCTAGATGCGGACAGGCAGCTCCCGCAGTTCAGGGCGAGCAGACACGGGTCCAGGTCTGAAGCACAGCACTGTGCGGGGAGTGACGGCTCGCAGCTCTACCCTGTCGCCAAACCTGCCGCGCTCCCGTTCAGTAAACGGCAACAGATAACCAGCCTGCACTCCGTTCTCATGAGGCAACAGTCAATCTCAGGCCAATCTACTCATGAGGGAAAACTGCTCCCAAGAGATTTCAGAATGTGCCCCATTTTGGGTTCCTGACCTGAGCTTCCAGAGCAGCCCTCTGCCAGTTCCGGGACCCAACAGACGCACAAACCTACAGTTACAGCCTCATGCTGAGCCACTTTTCACGCTTAAACACCACGTAAAGGCGCTCACTGAGCTTGAGAAAGGGCTCCGTGCTGCGGCCCCCGCGCCAGCCTCGGCACTGTGGGCCACCGTCAACACTGCCAACGAAACGGACCAGGGAGGGAGCCCAGCTCCAGGACAGGCCCCAGGGCCCCAGCCCACCAGATGGCGCCTGGTGTAACATCCCTCCCATCTGAGCCTTACAGCCCGTGAAGGAGCCTCGCTCTGAAGCGCCTGCTTGTATGCGTGTGTGCACTACGCTCTTGCAGATCCCACGCAAGTAAGCGACAATTTCCCGGACTTGGTCCCCAGGCGCATCGTTCTCAGGAAACACACAACACGTGGACTCTATGCCAGGCGTGCCCTTTTACAGCTAAGTTATTAGCTCTGAGGTAAAGGGCTACAATCCAAAGCCAAGGCTCTCCTGCACAGGCCACCCCGCCCCCGTCCATTCCCAGAGCCACACACTCGCCATCCTGCGCCGCTGTGCACACGCCCGCCCACGACTCACCATTCTGTGACACTTTTATGGGCTCTGATGACTGAGGTCTCAATGTCGATTGGGTGATACCGCATTCCCCGCAGCTCCATCGCCTCATCTAGAGCCCCCACTACGTACAGGGCGTCGTGGCGCTCTGTGTAGGGAATGGAAAGTGTGTGAACTTCACCACAATGGTGCTCCGGTTGCTTAAAAAAGAAGACTAAAACTACCCCTGACAGAGATGCAGAGGAACAGAGTCACTGAAGGAGGGCAGCCAGCTCCTTTCTACCAGGGTCGCTGTGCAGCCTGGGGCTCCCAAGGAAGCTGCCAGGCCAGCACTGTGATCTCCCAGGAGTGCCGGCCGCACACCCGTAATGGCCCTCCGTGCCGCAACACCACGGGGCAGAGTGCGGTCCAGGACCGCTTCTGTGCACCCTCGGTCCACCAGCTCGTGCGCCTGGCGGCCCTCAGAGTGCCCTCCCAAAGCCCTAGGGTCAGGGCACAGCACAGCCAAATTTAACCTGGGTCCCTCTGATGCCATCAGATGAGGTCTTACATTCCACCTTTCCGTGGGGGGGGGGGGGGGCGGGGGGGAGAGGACATAGTTTCTGATAACGCTTGTGAACAAAAATTTCCTTAGTTCATGTAACCATTAAAAATCTTCTTACTCACGCAAACCTTGGACAATGACAACAAGCAGTCAGTCCATTTTTCCTTAAAAGTAAGGAGACACCCTCAATCTTTAGGGTAGTAAATGCATCGGACAGTATTTGAAAGAAGTAATCAACATACAGATGCCAGAAAAGAAATCTTTTCCAGTTTTCGGAGGGGGGTGCAACAGTGCTATCCGGCCCCTCCCCAGAACTCCACAGGGTGGGGCCGGCTGAGGTCCTGGGGAGGTCTGGATCACCGTGGCCCTGCGTCTCTTAGATCTTCCCGGGAGTGCCAGATAACACACGGCAATAAAATAGTCTCTGGTTTTCCCACATTGCAAACATGATACCAAAATATTCTTGGGCTTTCCCCCTAAATTTATGACAGTCCAGCCAGGTTTACAGAGCTCCCGCCAGGCAGCTGTGTCAGGAAGCCTTCTGGAAAGTCACCTCCTGGGGTTTGGGTCTGTCAAAGTCTCTGCTCCCATTTTGAAATAACTGAGTCTTGCCTCTATTTTGTGTAGAACTAGGAGCTGAGACTTTAATAGCAAGTAGAGCTTTACATTTTTAACTTTCGTAACTTCCCTGCCGGGCAACAGCTCCCCTCGAGGCAGCAGCAGCAGCCTCCACGTGACCAGGCCTGGGCACCTCACTACCTCCTCCTCCTGACGGCTGCACCCCGTCAGGTCCTGCAGCCACCGCCCAGCTGTGGTCTCAGGCGGGCCTCAGTGGGACTGGCCAGCTGCAGGAGGGGCCAGGGCCTGTCCAGGGCAACCTGGGGCACCGCGACCCGGGCGGCGCGCACTCTGGCTCTGTGAGAACCTGGGGCACCGCGCACTCTGGCTCTGTGAGAACATGGGGCAGCGCGTCCCGGGCGGCGCGCACTCTGGCTCTGTGAGAACCTGGGGCACCGTGCACTCTGGCTCTGTGAGAACCTGGGGCAGCGCGTCCCGGGCGGCGCGCACTCTGGCTCCTGCAACAACTTGGAGGCAGAGCATCACGGGCAGCGTGGCTCTGGCTCCTGTGACAACTTAGGGGCATGGCGTCACGGGCAGCGCGCACTCTGGCTCCTGCGAGAGCACACGGTATACGATGCGGGGCTTCAGCTTGCTGGACACGCTCACACCGACCGTCCCCTCTTTCACACTCAGCTGCTTCTCCTGGTGTGCAGCCAGCAGGCACGAGTAGCTCCTGGGTCTGGGGTCCCAAGTCCACACAAGCTCTCAGGCCTGGGGACCTGGCTTCCCCACCCACCTGCCTGGGCTCCTACCTCCGTTTGCGTCTGTGAGCTCGGTCCTCCGCAGGAACCCCAAGTAGCCCGTCCGTGCCCAGACCGTCTGGGTGTCTCCAAAACTTAACCTTGAGTTGAAGTGGTCTGACTGAAGAGACTCATCTCCATAAATGGTGAAGTAGCCACTGGCGTTGTGGGCACTGTGAACCCAGATCTGCTCGGGAAGCAACACAACTGGGTGAGTCGGCCTGGGAGTGTCCGGGTAAGAAACCAGGTGCACATGGAGCTGATCAATGTGCCCGAGTGGCAGGGCAAGGCCACGTGAGTCTCACGCAGGCTTTCGGGGGGGCCAGAGAGGCGCGAAGCAAACAACCAAGCTGTCCGCCTACGGAGAAGCTCCTTAGAACAGGGAGGGTTTTACAGGAGGCAATCAAGTGAGCAATGTTGTAGTTTCCTTGCACTTGTTCAAATATAATGACTGTTTCTAAACAGCAATTTGGAAAAATGTTAAAAACCTTTAACAATTATTTTTCCCTTTCACGTGGTTCACGCACTTCTGGGGAGATATTCCAAGAGAACAGCAGAAACCAGAACTCAAAGAGGGAAAGGCACATAACAGCAAATCTGGGAAACAAAATAACGTGTGTGTGTGTCTGTGTGTATGTGTGTGTGTGTGTGTGTGACACTGGGGGAAATGAGAAAGAACAACATTTTCACTCAAAATGATGACCATGTGGGTCATGCAGAACCACGGAAAAGACTGGAAGTTAAGCCAATAAGGCCCTGAAACACACATAAAACTGCATGCAGTTCTGTCTGTGCAGGGAAAAGAATCCGAAGCCAGGGTCTTCTGGACTACAGGATGTTTCTAGTAAAGACGTTCTGAGTTTGGTGGTTTCTGTTATTTCATTTACAATGAAAAATGGACAAGTGAGAGGCAGTCCACCTCGTCTGCACTGTCCCCAAAGCTCTCAGACACCGTGGGCACATCACAGCCACGCAGGCAGTAACTGCTGAACACACCCAACCCTCGAGTAGAGAAAGAAGCGACACCATCATACAAGGGTAATGAAGCCTGTCCCTTGTTCTCAGACATCCCGGAGCTCGCCTCACCTGGTGGACACCCCAGAGCCTGCTTCACCCGGTGGACACCCCAGAACTCGCCTCACCTGGTGGACACCCCAGAGCCTGCTTCACCTGGTAAGACACCCCAGAACCTGCTTCACCTGGTGGACACCCCAGAACTCACCTCACCTGGTGCACACCCCAGAGCCTGCTTCACCTGGTGGACACCCTAGATCTCGCCTCACCCGCACAGACTCCCGTATCTCACCTCACCCAGGCAGAACCCCGGAACTCACCTCACCCAGGTGGGAGTCGCCCAACGGTCCTTTTGTTTCTGGATTGGCGATTATGATCCGTACCCCTGGGAGTATCTATGTGGCAGAGGAATGTTCTGGTCAGAGGACAGATAGGCAGATGCCACACCAATCAACCTTTCTGTGGCCTTTATGCTGTGTGCCTGTTTTCCTTTCTAAAACTGTCTAGAAAGTGGCATGGCCCTAAATCAACATCATGTAACATAATTACTGCGTGACAATTGCATCTTATTGTAATTATTACTATAATGATAGCACCTGTGTTAAGGTGCTCTTCAGATTAAGAATCTGGGGACACCTGGGGGGCTCAGTCAGTTAAGCATCTGACTCTTGGTTTCAGCTCAGTTCATCATCTCATGGTTTCTGGGATCAAGCCATGCATCAGGCTCTGTGCTGACAGCAAGAAGCCTGCTTGGGATTCTCTCTCTCTCTCTCTCTCTCTCTCTCTCTCTCTCTCTCTCTCTGTCTCTCCCCCCCCTCCCTCCCTCCCTCCCCCCCCAAAATAAGCAAACACTTAAAAACATTAGGAGTCTGAATAAAAACATAATGACTGATATAACTTAACTCAGCCTGATGCATGCAAAATAGGAATTTTTAGACATCTCAACTAATTTTTCAATTATATTTAACATTGTGCCTGACATCATGGCATGTGAATGTGGATGAAGGGTGAGGTTTGAAGTAGGTGCTGAATTCAGGAAGTAGCTCACGTATCAAGGTTTCAGAGATGCGTGTGGACTGAAGGCAGGTGTGGCGGGAGGAAGTGAGAGGTGGTGTGTCTCTCTGTGCGGTCCGGCGTGTTCTGACTAGCGAGCCTGTGCGGCTCTCCCTGTCCTCAGTTATGCTTCTGACGCTCTCCTGCCCGGCACTGTCTTTTATTTTAATGTTTGCATTAACCATCTCCTGCTTAATGGAAGTTTGGATTAGAAGCATTTTGAATTTCACTGAAACCACATGCATCTGGAAGCACGAGTGGAGTCTGCAAACTCAGACTAAAGCCCGTGTGGGTTCAGTGAACTGGGCCTTGTAAGCTGAGCTTCGGTAAGAGCTCTGGGAACAGGTGTCCTGTCCCCTGGCCTGAGGTGTGACGTGGCGGCTCTGGGCCCCGTGTCGCCAAAGGCTGAGTTAGGGCAGGTCAGCAGCGTCCCTACCATGAGAACCGCCTTAGCGGCAAGAATTCTAACTGGTGCCCAGGTAGACACAGACTATCAAGGATCCAGAAGTGACAGAAGACACTTCTGGAATGACATCAGGTGGAGAAGAGATAGGACAACGGAGGCCAAAAGCAGAAAAAAGAAATCTTCACTTTGGTGTGAATATACTTCTCGCCCTCTGCTTGTATAACAACATGTGGCAGAACTACCCCCCCCCCCCGCCCAAAAACCCTTCTTTGTCTACTTTCACAGCAAACACTACCCGGGTTTTTAGCAAGGCCCATACGTATTCAGAACCAATATAAGGTTTTCAACTTTTCTTTCAGCCAGTGTGACCGTGTGGCGGACTCTGGCCAGCGGGACTTCAGGATGCACAAGGCGGCTCAGGGACCTTCATCGGCACCTCTCCGTCCCGCCTTTTCCTGTTTCTTCCTCTGCTGGCTGGAATGTTAAAGTGATTGTTGGAGCCAAAGCAGCCACTTTTGACCCTGAGGGACCCTTTGGAATGAAATCCGTGCAAAGTAGAACAATACAGAAGGTGCCGGGGCCCCTAGGGTTTCACGATTTCTTTTTTGTGAGAGAAAAGAAAAACCTAACTTGTTTAAATTAAAACACTGTTGTTTTGAGCTTCTGTACTCATGGGCAAACCTACTGGAAAAAAAATTCTATAAAATACATTTCTTAAAATGTCAAAGCTCATAGGCTCAGACTTAGGTTTATGTAGAAATACATCTTTATTCCTTCAATACTTACTTTTCCTGATTCCATCAGGGGCAAGCTATGAGGAGAGCCTCTTTCCACTAAACGGACTCTACAAAGAGAGAGAGAGGGTGTGACTCAGTTGCGTACTTGAGCCTGTGGCTCCTCCCTCCACACTGAGCACCTGGTCAGTGCCGGCCAGGCTGCTGGGGAGCACTGTCCACTGCACATAGATGTCCCAGGAACAAGCGGCCCCGTGCAGACAGCAGGTGTGCTCTGGCAGGGACACAGACACTCAGGACAGGCCACAGAACAGAGGCAGCGTCCCGTTCACCAAGTGCGCATGGCCACCAGGGAAACGATTCTGCCCTGACAGAGCCAGACCGCACTCAGCACGTGTACCGGTTAGAGAGCGTGAGGAGCTGACAGCCACGGGGTGGCCCGGGCCTGCAGCAGCACAGAACTACCTTCTGCACCAGGTGCGTCTGAGCCCTGTGAGGACTGGCCAAGGCAGATGGCAAAACCTCCTTCCAGAACAGAAACGCTTTTCCACTAAAAAATACTTAATGGTGGTTTACTCTTCAGAAGCGCAGATGACACTGCGCTGGTCATGACCAGAGCCGGCGACACCCTTCCCCGTGGTGTTCTTTCTGCCAGGGCATAACAAGGCCGTGATGCTGTTCCTTCGTCTGAGGGGAACTTTTTATTTACCGAGTGCCGTGCTTTATACTCGGGGGAGGACTCGGGGCGCGGCAGTGAGGGGTGCTGGAGGCCGTGTCCCTGTGTCCGTGGGGGAGGGACGCTCACTACCCCAGAGCCGCCCTCGGCGTGATCACAGCTGCCCTCCTGGTGACGGGCATGTGCTCCGGAGACGGGAGGGCAGGGGAGGGGGCAGGGGAGCCTGGTCCCAGGGTGGGGGTGCCCGGGGCTCCCTCACAGCTGGCCTTCGCTGCGCGTGCAAGTCGGCTGCCAGGTGGAGGATGGTCAGGGGCGGGGCCGGGAGGGGGGCACCTGACCGGGGGCGGCAGCAACCCCGATGTGGAAGAGCCTCCCGCCCCAAGTCTGGGCCGGGCGGCGGCCACTAAGGTCTCTGGTGTTTCTCTTGAGGAAGACCTTGGTGCTGACGGCAGCAGAGGAGGGCTCTCCAAGGAAAGCCGGCCAGGTCATACACCACTGTGACGGTTCTGGAACATGCCGGCAGGCTTAACAACATAAGCCCTCCGAGATAAATTACCCGTCGCGCTGACACGGAATTGTAAGTGACAAAGGCTCTCAGGACCCAGGTAGCACTGCGCTCACAGAGGCTGGGTCAGGAGACTGCAACGGCCACCCTCACCTAAAGCCAAGCTCGTCTGAACGGTCCGGTGAAACGAACGTGCCTGTGTCTGCTGGCTGGCTGCCCAAATGTGACTTCTGGGTGTAAGCAATTAGCTACAGATGGAGAAAGCCACAGGGCCACGAGGCCGACCTGGGCGGAAACCCTGAGTGCACGTGGCTGAGGAAAGATGGAACGAAGGAGCAGGGGCCCAGAGCATGGCGGCTTGGCCACCACCCAGCCCGGGCTCTGCATGAGCAGGGCTCCTGCTGTCTGGGGGTAGGCAGCGGGCCAGCGATGGGGCCGGGCTTCCCCAAAGGCCAGGTCAGGCTGGGTAGCACAACTCCTAGCCCAAAGTTAGGGCTGTTTTGGACAGCTCTCCACGCAAAGCCACCAGTATTCCAGGACGCTGGAACCCGCCGCCGGGCATCGCATGCATCCAGCAGCTCTGACTGCCGCATTAGACAGGGCCCTCACGTCACAGAGTAAGCCAGACGCTGGAAACAAAGGAACGAGGGCAATGTCCTTGGACTGTGCGCTTTGGTGCCCAGGACATCCACGGCTTCTCCTCCTCCCCCCGCCCCCCACTACGTGCAGGCTTCCGCCCCGGCCTGTGCCCGGACAAGCGGGGGGAGACGGCACCGGCGCGGCGGGGCTCCCGGCCACGAGCGTGCCAGCGGCCTCCGCCTTGCCGGACAGTCCCTCCCTGGAGCTCTTCCTGCTTGACGAGTGTACCTGTGTCCTGTCCTTCCCTGGCCAGCCCTCAGCCTCTGACAAAGGAGGGGTCTCATCCCCAGTACCACTCGGGTCAGTGTGAAAGCGCCGCAGTCAGGGCTTCACAGGAAAGCGGGACGGGGCGCCGGAGTCACTCAGGGTCGGTCCTGCACGAAACAGTGACAGACCCTCCTGGCAAATTCCACAGAAGATGCTCCTACGTCCACATGAAAAGAAAAATATCCAGAGAGTAAAATGAAAAGTAAAAACAGCTTCAAGGAGAAAGGCAACGCCGTGTCCTGAAGGAGCCGGAGTTCACACCCACAGCACACGGAAGGGGGCCGTCTCCACTGGTGGAGGGAGACGACGCCGTGAGCGGGCCGGGCCGCAGGGGGCAGGGGGCGCCCGGGCGAGCCCCGCTCCCAGGCCGGGTGAGCCCTGCACGCCGTGCGCCGTCGCTGTCCGCGGTCAGCACAGATCTCTCGAAGCAGCCTGGACAGTCACAGCCGGACCTGTGACCCTGCCCGTGAGCGGGCTCGGCTCCGCCCCACAGTGAGGCGAGGCGGCGAAAGGAATCCCGTCTCCTGAGAGATGACAGAGACAGAGCCCACAACGCGGATCCTCTCAGGGGAGTCACGTGGATGTGGCAGACTCCGTCTGACACAATTCAGGAGCTGACTGAACCCGTCAGCCCTGGGACTGGGATCTTCCATCCTTCTCTTGCTGCCTCGCCCACTGCTGCGGACCGAGCAGCCCCAGGGGGCCAGGCCCCTCCCCAGGCTGACGCCCGTTCGGAACGGCGCCCAAGCCCGCTCAGCGCACCTGCTTCCCTAGCTCCCTCCGGCCCGGCTGTGCTGCTGCGCAGAAGAGCCGGTCTCTCTGATGCTTCCAAACTCAAGCGCGGACCCTGGACTTCCGAAAACGTTTTTCCACCTATGCTCTTACACGGACTTGAAATTTAGGCTTTTGTCAGAAAAGAAGAGATAGCAAGGCAGAAGATTCACATGGGGGAGACCGGTCGTCCCCTACACAATCCCCACCTCGTGAGCACGGCCGCAGCCATCAGAGTGATGCCAAGGGGCTGCAGACACAGGGTGGTCTGTCTGCAAAGGGCTCCTTCCTCTGGCCTTGCGGGGAAGGCTGGGGGCGGGGTGGTGGGCTCACCACCCCCACCATGCTGCTCCTCCCTCTCCCTGACACGGGGCGACGAAGCACAACTGTCACCCAGGGGAGGTGAGCACCTTTACCTGCTCAACCACCGCCACCCACCGGCAGGGTGTCCATCACACCGCCAGCTCAGGGGACAGGAAACAATCGAGAAATCACACTATCTGCCCCCGTAAGAACGACAGCCTTCTCCACAGTTGCTGCCAGAAATGTCACTTCAGGAACACGAACAAGCCCAGGGCAGGTGTGTCCTGATGGGGGACAGACAGGGGCTGAGGGGGGTTCCCATCCCTGTTGGCCGTGACCTGGAGGGAGAGCACCATGCACACCGTCCATCACCACGACCGCTCCTCTACACCAGCGAGAGGAGGAAGTGGGACCCCGAGTCCACCCCTGCACTCGGCAAGCCACAGACGCACGGCTGCAAACCGGTCTGACTTCCGGGCTGACGTTTACACTGCAGCTTCTTCCGAAACAGTCTGAAGCGTCTGACAGACTGAATATAACAGAAGACCACTGGCACAAGTTTTCCAAGATCCCAGAAGATGGAGGGGAAACTCTGAAGCACGGGATACGTGCGTACTCCCGACCCCGGGTTCAGTGACTCTGGTGCTGTGGCTGGATTTCGTCCCCAGCTTCCCGGCAGCTGAGGCAAAGGGAGGAAACACGAGACAAGTTTTTCTGTCAAAGTCTGGGTTTTAATAGCTTGGCGTTTCCGGCGCTGCTAAGTGAGGCTTATCAGGGAGGATCGACAGAGGCATGAGGAAACCGGAAATCTAAAGGGGCGTCACGGTCATGCCCCCAGCAGGAGCAAACCAAGACGCTCCCAAAGCACAACTGTCCCTAACGGAAGCTCTCCCCTGGAACCAGCGCTTACTCAAAGCTACAGGTCACACGTGGCCCAAGCTCTGCCACAAAGCCGGCAGCGGCAGCGGCATCATGAAAGCCCCCAAACCGGGTAAGATCACCCTCAAACGAGTGATAACACGCAAAAGAACATGCTTAGTTTTTAATACAACAAAAGTACAAACCAAAACCTAAGTGAGCCTGGCGCCTCTTCTAAAACCACATGTCGAACACGCTCTTGCCCCCAACCCCCTCCCCCGCCGCCGGAGCCAGACTTCCATCAGTGTGCGTCCTCGCCGCTCCCTCAGGCCGACAGGAGCCCAGAGTCCTGGTCTCCTGTTGGGGCGTCAGTGGACACCCCGGCTGGCGGCATGGGCCAGACCCTGCGTCCATTCGTAATGGGCAGTGATGGCAAAGTCGTCTCAATTAAATAATATTTTGCAGCAGTATTTGACTCACAGAAAACCCGGAGGAACTGCTCAGACTCCCTGTGCCCCCAGCAACGACTGTGTCCTGGACGCACAAGCACGTGTGTTCAAATGGCTTATTTGGGAGCCAAACTGTATACATTCCCTCAGCTTCCGGCTCACGATCGACTTGTGGACCCCACAGGACGTTTGGTTCTCATGCCCCCTTGGCTCAGCCCGGCTGCTGCTGTTTCTTAGACCGTCCTCGTTTTCCATGACCTTGGTAGTTGGGGAGGTGTTGTGCGGAGCATCTGGTATTTCTCGTGAGGTTACACGGTGGTTGTGAGCTTGGGGAGGAAGCCCTTCTCATCATGTGACGTCCCCACCCATGTTGAGTGGGTGCCACGAGGCACTGAGCGCCACCCCCCACCCCTCCCACATCGCCGTCTTGGGAAGGATGTTGCTGTGTGTGCCTGCGTGTGCGCTGTGGAGGCTCACGGCCCCTGCTGCCGCGGGCCAAGCTCACACCCCGGGAACATGGGCGTAAGACAGGCTGTGCGAACACAGGAGGTGGAAGCTCAGGGCTGCAGGCGGGTAAAGTCCCCTCAGGTGGACACAGAAAGCCCGGCCATCCACAGAGATGTCCAGATGGAGCTGGGAGCT